TTTTACTAATTTTTTTATCACACTAATAATATAATTCGGATAAAAAATAACAGATTAATTAAATCGCAAAATAATCATGAAATAATATATATCACAGTAAAAACAACTAATAGCCATTTTTTATACATGAGTCTTAACAAACAATAAGTCGGAATTCCTCAATTTAAATTTTTTGGAAAATTAAAGATTTGGTGATTTGGAACCGAAACAAGCAACCCACTATGAGATAACGCCTTAAATACAATGTGGGGCCGAGAATCTACACTTTTGGTTGGACCGGTGGGCTCCACCCGAGTTTTTTTCGTTAAAAATGGGGAGGGGNTAGCGTCCTTATGTAGGGCGTTATACTTTAGCGTCCTACATAAGGACGCTATATCTTCTCGCCCATTTCAGTTCAAATAAAGCTCTGTATTGCACCGCGCTATACTTTAACGGCAAACATGTCGTTAAGGTATAGCGCGGTGTAATATCGTGTTATATATATTATGGTTCTTTGAGTCCCAAAAAACTACGCTTTGGTTCCGGACTCTAAAATCGACACCTACTAAGGCTATTATTTTTATTTTTTTTGGTTAATAATTGCTGAATTGAGGTGGGAACTGGAAAAGTTCTTACATAGACAAGTCAACTCTAGCCTGTAGTAATGTTTTCTCACTTGTGAGACTTGTATTTACCCTCAATTTTATATTGGAAATAATAAAATCTTCATAATTTTCTTTAACATTCAAGTCCATCATTATAAAAGACGCATAAAAGTCACGTCTTCCCGTTGCAAACGTTGGGAATAACATCTCATTATATTATCCAACAATATTCTTGTTCACCTGTTTTACAACTTGTATTTACGTTGTGCACTAGTATATAGATTTTTTACACCATTTAATAAAATTGACCTACTAAAACAAATAACTCCTAGTAGTAATCTTGATGTGATAATAAGAAAAATTAGCGTAACGAAATAGTTATAATCTTTTTTTTAAGTGCCCGCGCACAGTGGTGGATGTAGTGTAGTATTACACGGGTTCAACGGAACTCATAACTTTTGACGCGAAGTAAAAATTTATGGGTAAAAATTCAATAAAATTACAAAAATAGTAGATATGAACCCATTACTTTAAAAATATAATGGGTTCAATACTAAAAACTTTAAAAGTTGAATTCATAAGATTTAAATCCTGGATCCGCCTCTACACGCGCATACAACTTCAATCCTTTTGGAATTTTACTATTTTCACCTTTCACCGGAAAAAGGAAAAATAAAATAGAAGAAAAACTATAATGGGGATAATCAATTCACCTCTTTTTTTAAAAAAGAAAAAGATCGCTAACCAATTAATGGGTTGTGGCCTTGTGGGGCAAGGTAGAGAAGAAGAAACCACCAAAAAGAAAAAGAGAAACAAAAGTTTAGTTTTCAGTCAACGAAAGATGATGCAAAGGATGTAAACAATCTAACGGCAAAGAATTGGCAGAAACTTTGAAAAGACATAGAAGTACCCCGCCGTTTCGTGAATGGGAGTTTAAGAAAAAATGAATGTCTTTTAGAATTTGTGGTTTTAAAAGTCAAAAAGGGGTCCAGAATATTTTTGTGGTCCAAAGTATTTGTTTGGTTATAAATGATTCTCATTAAGGGTAGAGTTGAAAGTTTAATCTAAATTATTTCTAAATTAAGAAAGGGACCATTCTTTTTGGAACGGACCAAAAAGAAAATAGGATCACATATAATGAAACTGAAAAAAATATCTTATAATTGACTGGGTCCACTTATACGGGATGAATATGTCCTGAGTCCCTCTTGCATTTTAATTAAATATTTTTTAATTTTCCTTTTTTTGTTTAGTTTATTCTTTCAAAATTCTCAAGTTTGTACATTGAAATCCATGTTTTCCATCTGTCATCATCGTTAAATTTTATATAATTAAATCAGATGTCTATATTAAATTAGCAGAGGTGAAGGATGTAGCATATAGTCAATGAGTTCAAATGATTATTACCACCAAATTTTAAACGTATCAATTTAAAAGTGTAAAGAGTTCATGGTAAGAACCTAAAAGTCAAACTCATTAACTATAAATTTTGGATCCACTTCTTTATAATAGTACCCCATCTTATCAAAATCTTGAAAACGCTTATGATTGTGTGTTGTTAATGTGTAACGAAGAAAATGCTATCAGTAAGTACCGCATAAAATAACCACAATGTGTTTGTGTTTACATGTGTAATAAAGATGGAAGTTTCTTATGCACTAAATTTGGAAAAAAACGTATGATTGCGCTAGCTCACACAACAGTCTTACCAGCTAGAGTGATAAACTAGGACCCGATATAACATTTATGTGACAAACATGATTAATTTTCCTATCTATTGCACTAATGTTCAAAACAACAAACATATCTCGTTTAAAAAAAATAACAACGCACAACCTTAAAGGTTTCCTGTTTGAGTTTAACTCTAATAATCTGACACTGTAATTTTCCCTCTGTGATAAATAAAGACAAGATACTCCAAGTCCCTTTACACTGTTTCACGGAGCTAGAAACAGAAGAAGAAACATCCCAAGACTTGGCACAGTGTGCCAAGGGCAAAGTTGAAAAGTCAACAGTCAATACATGAGAACGTATTTCATTGTTTTTTTAATGCAATTTGGACCCATGCGCAAATTTTCCACACGTTCTCAGCTTGACTTGTGAAGTCTACGCTCGTTTTCCATACACAAAGCCGCCAGCCATTTTCCTTCATAAAGATATCAATCAAACACTTAAAAAATTATCCACCATCCACCCACCAGACTGGTGTCTCTCCTCCCTCCGGTCTGCCGGAAAAACAAGAACCTCAATGGCCTTCACTGCTTCACAAATCCACTTCTTTTTCTTCTCCCTTTTCGCCTTTTTACTTATTGCTGTTCAAGCAAGACTGAATCTTTATCCACGAGATCATGCTGCACTTTTGCTTGTCCAAAAAGACCTGGGCATCCAAGGTCAACGCATTGCTCTACGCTGCAACTCTGCAACAATATCCTGTGAAAGGCGAAAGGCAAACAGAACACAATTGTTGAGAGTCACCCGTATTGACTTCAGATCCAATGGATTGACTGGAACTTTATCTCCTGCCATTGGAAAACTTTCTGAGCTCAAAGAACTCTCTCTTCCAAACAACCAACTCTTTGACCAAATCCCAGTTCAGATTCTTGAATGCCGTAAACTGGAGGTCCTTGACCTTGGAAACAATCTGTTTTCTGGGAAAGTTCCATCTGAATTATCATCTCTACTCCGCCTTCGAATTCTTGATCTTTCTTCAAATGAGTTGTCTGGGAATCTTAACTTCTTGAAGTATTTTCCCAACTTAGAAAAACTCTCTTTAGCTGATAACATGTTCACTGGAAAAATACCCCCTTCTTTGAAATCTTTCAGAAATCTCCGTTTCCTTAATATTTCAGGAAACAGTTTTCTTGAAGGTCCTGTGCCTGCTATGAGTCAAGTTGAGCACTTGTCAGCAGATTTGGATCGGAACACCTTCGTTCCAAAACGTTACATTCTTGCTGAAAATTCGACAAGCTCAAATCAGATATCAGCACTGGCACCTAATTCCAATTCAGGAAATGCCCCAGCTCCAGCACCGAGTCATAGTGTCGCTCCAATCCATAAAAGTAATAACAGGAAGAAAAGGAAAGTCAGAGCGTGGTTTCTTGGTTTCTTTGCTGGTTCTTTCGCAGGAGCTATATCTGCGGTACTCTTATCAGTTCTCTTTAAGCTGGTAATGTTTTTCGTCCGAAAGGGAAAGACTGATGGAACTTTAACAATATACAGTCCACTGATTAAGAAAGCCGAGGATTTGGCCTTCTTAGAGAAAGAAGATGGAGTAGCATCACTTGAAATGATTGGAAAAGGTGGATGTGGAGAAGTTTATAGAGCTGAGTTACCAGGAAGTAATGGGAAGATTATAGCTATAAAGAAGATTATACAACCCCCAATGGATGCTGCAGAACTCACCGAGGAAGATACCAAGGCTTTGAACAAGAAAATGCGACAGGTAAAATCAGAAATTCAAATTCTTGGTCAAATCAGACACAGGAATCTGCTTCCCTTACTGGCACATATGCCTAGGCCAGACTGCCATTACTTGGTATATGAATATATGAAAAATGGGAGCTTACAAGATATCCTCCAGCAAGTCACAGAAGGGACAAGGGAATTAGATTGGTTGGGACGACACCGAATTGCAGTAGGGATAGCTGCTGGACTTGAGTATCTCCATATAAACCACAGTCAATGCATAATTCACAGAGATCTAAAGCCAGCAAATGTCCTTCTTGACGATGATATGGAAGCTCGAATTGCTGATTTTGGACTTGCAAAAGCACTTCCAGATGCCCATACACATATTACGACTTCAAATGTTGCAGGAACTGTGGGATATATAGCACCAGAATACCATCAGACACTGAAGTTTACAGATAAGTGTGATATATACAGCTTTGGTGTGGTGTTGGCAGTGCTGGTTATAGGAAAGCTTCCATCAGATGAATTTTTCCAGCACACGCCTGAGATGAGTTTAGTGAAGTGGCTGAGAAATGTAATGACTTCTGAGGATCCAAAAAGGGCAATTGATCCAAAGCTGATAGGAACTGGATTTGAGGAGCAAATGCTTTTGGTTCTCAAGATAGCTTGCTTTTGTACTCTGGAAAATCCAAAGGAGAGGCCTAACAGTAAGGATGTTAGGTGTATGTTAACTCAGATCAAGCATTAAGTAAGCACGTGATATTGCAATAATGAACAAGTTGGTTTATGTAACTAAGAATGTGTTTTGTACTATCTCCAAGATGGAGACTTTGCAAGTTAAGTTTTTGTTGTAATTGGTTTATACAAAGTAAATCAAATCTCTGTACTAAAGTAGTCTTAATGGTATTCTTTCCACTTTTCTGCTGAAGTTACTAAACTCAAAAAGCAATTGTCACTATGTGTATCTGCTTCCCCTCAAACTAGATAAATATGCCAATGTGTATCTTCTGTTCCATAAGGTAAAGTATTTATTGAAAAGAGTAGTACCATAAAGTTTGAAAAATTACATGATTACTACAATAATATGGAACCCATAAAAGACAGGTAATCAGAATTGCTGAATACAGACTCTCCCCTATGCCAACACACAACAAATTATGAAAACATCTAAACTTTACAGCAGCAATCAGCTTTATTTCTCTCATGCCATATTGATCAAATGATTGCTGCATAATGGAACCAGCTTCTTAACTTCTTCAGTCTTCTTTCCGAACTTTGCCCTTGCCAACATTTAAGTCGTTGAAGCTTTCTGGCATCACCCAATAAATTAGAAAAATATTAAGAAACAAGGGTCCATATCAGCCATGCTTGTTTATAGTGCACCAACAAATGATTCACTCTTTCAACAGAACATTCACACAGACTAAAGCCCTCTCCTTAGTTAGACAAGCATCATATGCAGCAACACATCCAAAGCAAGCAACTTTTGTTGGAGCTTGAGTTTTCCACAATTAACTACCACGGCCAGATTTTCTCATATTCATTTGACTGTTTTTGTAACCTATCATAGCAAGACTTCACAGTAAGACACCCCTTTTTATTAACACGCCAGATTTGAATATCCTCCTTACTATCTTCAGATTTTATTTCCTGCATTTTCTGTATAAAGCCACAGCTTCATCCAACTCTCAGTCGTTAAAGCCTCATCTTTGCTGGAAGTTCCACCCGCCTTCAGTGAAATAATCAGCCATCAGACTTGATTTAACACCAAGTTATAGACATTAGGAAATTGGTCCTTAGGCCGACACTCATCAGACCACCTGTCCTTATTCTGCAATTACCTACCTTCAACTTAATGTTACTCTTCCAAATAAACTTATTTTCCATTGAGTTGTTTCTCTTTCTATCGCCTGCAGATGTCAATGCACCTTCTGGGCCTGCAGATATAATTTCAACTGAAAGCAAACACTAAGCCGAATAAGTAGTTGAAGAAGAAGATCAAACTTCTAGTTATTGGTGCTTTGTTAAATTCTGGATGAGAACAGTGTTCATCCATGGGAGCACTTAGAGAGAAAGCAGAGAAGAGAAGAGAGAAAGGGATTTGAAAAAATGATACTGTTACATTGCTTCAGCTACAGTAGGTATACGCATATATAGTCTAACTACTTCAACTAATGGCAGCTAATTGACAGATAATAACCACCTAACTAACTAACTAACTAATTATGTGCACAAATACAATTCCATCTGTATTGATAATACTCCCCTCAAGCTGGAGGGTGCAATATATTGAGCACACCCAGCTTGCCTAATAAATGCAAGTGTTGTTGTTGTCCTAAGCCCTTAGTCAACAGATCAGCTAGTTGATCCCTGGTAGGCACATAGATTGTCTGTACCATTCCCCATTTAATCTTGTCTCGAATAAAGTGGCAGTCGATCTCGATATGTTTTGTTCTCTCGTGAAAAATGGGATTAGCAGCTATTTGCATAGCAGATTTGCTATCACTCATCACAGCTACAGGTTGAAGGATTTGAACTCCCAACTCCTGAAACAATCCAAGTAGCAAAGTAACTTCTGCAACACCTGAGGCCATGCTTCTATATTCTGCTTTAGCTGAACTCCTAGATACAGTGTGTTGTTTCTTGGACTTCCAGGAGATCAAGGAGCTTCCAAATTTGATAACATAACATGTTACAGATCTTCTGGTGTTTGGGCAAGCAGCCCAATCTGAGTCACACCAGCATGTTAGAGTATTACTAGGTTCAGCCTTAAGCCATACTCCTTGTCCTGGTGAACACTTCAGGTATCTTACAATTCTTATAGCAGCCTCCCAGTGTGACTTTTTAGGTCTTTCCATAAACTGACTCAAGGTTTGAACTACATAAGTGATGTCAGGCCTAGTGATAGTCACATACATTAGCTTCCCAACAAGCCTTTGGTGGAGACTGACATCCTCTAAGAGTGTATCATCTGTGGCTCCCGTGGCAGCATCAAACTCTACTGTGGTGAGTTTTAGGTTTGATTCAAGAGGTGTACTGGCTGGTTTGGCTCCACTTAACCCCAGCTCAGAGATTAACTCCGGCACATATCTCCTCTGATTTAATATTACGCCAGATTTAGATCTAAGCACTTCAATGCCCAGAAAGTACTTCAGATCCCCTAAGTCCTTCATCTTGAACTGCTGATGTAAGACATGTTTGGCTTCAGTAATTAGCTGTAATTCTGAAGCTAAGGAAGTGTCTGTTCTTGCTTCTGTAAAATCTCTTAAATATGTATGTGAAAGTTCCTCAACACCTAAGTTTGGCAAGTTTTCCATTGGAACATCATGAGATTCTCCATGACTGTTGGTTTCAACAGGAGAATTAAGTGAGAGATCTTCAACTGCATTAGCATCAACTTTATCACTAGCATGTTGATCTACAGATGGTGATGTAGCTTCTACAACTGGTTGAGTGGGAACATCAACAGAAATGTATGTATTAGAAAATACCTTAGGTTCATGCATAAGAAAGTCAGTAATTGAAGGAGATTCCGAAGTCTGTGAGTGTGCAAAGGGAAAAACTGACTCCTTGAACACAATATCTCTACCCACAAAGACATGTTTGGTAGACAAATTCATCAACAGATAGCCCTTCTGAGTGCTAGAATAGCCTATAAGCACATATGCTTTGGCTCTTTCAGCAAATTTGTCATCTTTGGGAACTACTGTTGCATAGCATAAGCAACCTATCAGTCTCAAATGTACGAGAGATGCTTGTTTGCCATATAAGAGTTCAAAATGACTCTTTCCTTGTATAGCAGTAGAAGGTAGTCTGTTCAACAGGCAGACTGCAGCTTGTACACATAGTCCCCAGTGTCTGATGGGTAAGTTGGCTTGAAATCTCAAGGCTCTAGCCACATCCAGTATATGCCTATGCTTTCTTTCCACAATGTCATTCTGTTGTGGAGTATGAACACATCTGCTTTGATGTGCAATTCCCAAATTCTGAAATAGCTTAGTGCATTGTGAATTGAATAATTCAGTGCCATTGTCTGATCTTATTGTTTTAACCATTAAGCCAAACTGATTTTTGATCAACAATAGGTAGTTAGTTATAGCAACTATGACTTCAATTTTCAATTGCAATAGAAAAACCCAAGTGAATCTACAGTGATCATCCACAATGGTCAAGAAATAGTATCTTTTATCAAAAGTAGGATTTCTATAGGGTCCCTAAAGATCCATATGTACAAGTTGAAATGGTGCTATAGCTCTAGAGTTGCTTATAGGAAACTTCAGCCTAATCTGTTTAGCCAAAGGGTAGACTGGACAATTATTCAGAAGTGAACTATTTACATTGTAACTTAGTAAACTCATACTCTTTAGCAGTAATAAAGGGGTGCCCTAGCCTCATATGCCATAATCTGCAGTCTTCTTTATTTGTCGTTGCCACCAAAACATGCTTCTGAAACTTATTCTTGTCATCCTCGGACCTAAAAATGTATAGACTAGCTGACTCCTTACCAATCCCCTTCACCTTGCCATTGCATAAATCCTGATTATGTACAGAAATCAGGAAAGAAGCCACAAAGCAGGAGAGTTCTCTGATTAATTTTGAGACTGATAGGAGGTTGAATTTAAAGTTAGGTACATAAAGAACATTGGATATCATCCCTACTTTGAAAATAGATGCCCGACCAGTATAGCTTATGTTCACCTTATCTCTAGTAGGTAAGCTAACCTTATCCCTAAGTGAGGCATCTACATTAATGCCAATTAATATCATATCTAGACTTGCAACCATATGGTGTGTAGCACTAGAATTCACAATCCAGTCATTTTTCTGAATCTGTGACATGAAACAGGTAGCGTTACCTGCCAAATTTGCATGACTATCTCCAGTGTCCTTGTTTAGCAATGCCAAAATCTGTTGATACTGCTCATCAGTGAAAAATTTGCCTGCAATAAGTTCTTTTCCCTCAGAGTTTGACAATGGAACATCACTATTCCAAGATATATTATTCATAGCTGCTAAAGCTTGTTGTTGTTGTGGTCTCCTATACTGACCCCCTTGCTGAGTTCCAGAACTACTAGCACCCTGTCCAAAATTCTTCTTACTTTTGAAGTCTGTAGGGTATTCTATTAACTTATAATAATTTTCCTTAGTATGTCCTTTCAGGTTGCAATATTCACATTGCATAAAAGGTCGTTTGCCTTTGTAACCCTGCCCTTGACTAATTTGCATAGCCATCAGATCTAATTTAATTCCTGCTGCATTTAGACTGGGTAAATTGTGAGTTTCATCCTCAATAATCATAGCATATGCTTGATTAAGTGAGGGAACACTAGAATTCAGCAGAATCTACCTCCTTACTGAATCATATTAATCATTTAAGCCACTAAGAAACTGTAATAAAATTTGTTGCTGCATATGATCCATATAGTCTTTGGAATTGGGAGTTGGCACCATAGCATCATATCTTTGTGCAAGTACCATTCACGACCCTAGCCTTCTCTTCCCCAAAAGAGCGATCCTCATCGTTCGACTCCAAAGCCCATATTTTCAGATCCGGTAAGCTTAATCTGAATCAAAACTACGCCTGGGGTGTCAGAAGGACCAATCTATAGAGGATGTGTGTATGCAAGTGTCTGCTCCTCAACTGTCGAGTCAGCCACCATTGTTGCACCACAAAAAAATACTAGAAAATGAAGAAGTAGCGGAAATCTGTGCGATTGAAATGGTGTAATTGAAATCAAATTGCGCGAGTAAAAAACATCGGCTGCTCTGATACCATGTTAAATTATGGATGAGAACAGTGTTCATCCATGGGAGCACTTAAAGAGAAAGCTGGAGAAGAGAAGAGAGAAAGGTATTTGAGAAAATGATACTGTTATATTGCTGAGAAAGGGATTTGAGAAAATGATATTGTTATATTGCTTCAACTACAGCAGGCACCAAACTAACTAACTAATTATTTGCCTATTAAATAACTCATGTGCACAAATACAATTTCATATGTACTGATAATATAGAGCTATCAATATGGGCCGGACCGAGCTAGCTCAGCCCAACTCATATGGGCTTTAGAAATTGACGGGCTAGCCCACTATTATGATGGGTCTTATAATGGTCAGCCCACCCTAGTCCTATGTGGGTCGCGAGAGCCCACGAGCTGGCCCATTATTTTTAAAAATATAATTTTATATTTTTTTTAAGTTCTGACCTAAAAAAGATAATTATTTAAAAGTTAAAAAATATCTTATGGGAAAAAATTTGCAAAACTTAATAGCTTTTTATATCGTTCCAATATATCATAATAAACACTAAAAAAAGTAAAAGACAAGACTATATTTCATTCACTAAAAGTCAAAACTCAAAACAAACTATTCAAGAGAACGTCCATGATGCTTATGAGATATCCAAAACATCATCTTCATCAAACACATTTGAATCCGCTTGTGATAAGGTTGTCTTAACATCTTCACTGTCATCTACATCTACAATTCATATGCAATATTAATTAGTTAAATATTATGAATAATTAAATTTTAAAACTAATGATATTTAAATTGACCTAAAAAAAATATTACTAGTTTGTGTTTGGGAAAAGATGTGTAGCTAATTTCGAATAGTAACAAGTGTTTGAACATTTTCATACACTACTAGAAAAATGCTAATTTCCGACCGAAATTTTCGAATGAAATTTTTTGTCGGAAATCTCCGACGGAATCCGTCGGAATTTTCAAGAAAATATTTCATATATATTTTTAAAAAAATTTCGACCATATTTCCGACCAACTTTTGGCGAAAAATTTATTTTGACTGGTTTGACTTCATTTCCGACCAAATCGGTCGGAATTCTTTTTTAAAAACCCTACAGCCCCCTCCCCAAAAAACAGAAGCTCAGTTTTCATTCTCTCATATCTCCCTCTCGTCCCCAAGGTCCTCTCGTCTTTCTCCCCCGTCCCAAGCTCGTATGTTTGCCCTCTCTCTCGTTTTCTCCTCCCTTCTCCCTCTCCTTCCTCCTCCCTTTACCCCTTAATTAATTATTTTTTTTACTTTGTTTTGCAGGTGCAGCTCGCGTGGTCGACGACGGCGGGCGGCGGTAGCTCCTCAATCGACTTCTCCGCCATTTTTTCCGTTGAGGAAAGTATTTTATTGAACCACATTAAGTATTAGAAATCTCATCGTTTGATTGATAATATAATTTTTTGGTAATAATTATGAAAATTAGCATTAACAAAAATAAAATAATACACCTATAGAGCACTTTTTAGAATGATATTAAATGAGTCAATGAATCTTTGTGTTATCTCTTGGGAGGTTGATTGAAAATTTCACAAATTCTTTAAAGGTTTTGTTATTTGATTTCTAGGAATTTTATGATCTTTGCGTTTGCGTGTAACAAGTTTTCTCTATTGGTCTTTATTACTGAAATTTTTGCCATGTGTTATGCTTAGAATGTTGGTACGGGTTTTTCATCATATTCTTTGACTTTGATAGTCTTGTAATTTTTCACCATTTTTAATTTCCTTGAATTTTCTTGTACATTTCCTAGTTTTATGTACTTTAAGACTTTAATCTAACCTTAAGGTTCTTCAACCCCCACCCTCCCCCACCACAAAAAAAATTGTACTGATTTTCTAGAAATCTAAGAAAGTTGTGTGAAGCTGTAATAACAGAGAATGGAGGTTTGTATAGTACTGTTTATACTGCTAGCTATAACTAGTTGATGGTAGTCAAACCATGGTATCATAAAGAACTTTCTTTTCGTCATGTCCTCTGATTTCACTTGGAGTAGTTGTATCCTTCTATTTCATTTCGTTATCCCACATTGATAGTTGTAAAGAATGTGAAACTACATACTATGTGTAGGGATACTCTTAATGGTTTGAGGGCTTTCGAGGAGAAAATGACTGATGAAGATTAATCTTTCCAAAAATTATAATCAAAGAAACATATAAAATAATATAGTAATATTTCTATATTCACTTTTTAGAATGATATTAAATTTAATTTTTTTCAATTTCAACATTAAGATTAACTTGTAAATTTGAAAAATCATTAATTAATTTGGATTATAGAACATTTAAGAAGCATTCAAATTTAATTAGTATATTTAAAGACTTATATTATTTAGAATAGGGATTAATGTGAGATTTCGAGCGTTAAAAACTATTAATTTAAAAAATAAAATATATTAATTAAAGTGCTTTGAAAGAGTATAACTTTGTAACCAGTTTAAATAAATCAAATTACTTTAAATATCTCATTTATAGATTCTATTTGTGTAGATGGAATTTGTGCATCGTAGATAAATGTATAATAGGAATCATCCTACTCGTGCGGGGTTGAGGGATGAATTTATTGAAAGGGTTGCTGAATTTATTGGAGGCTCTCGCCCAGCTACATCTAGTGCTGCTTCTGCACCATCTCATAGACGCAGGCAGAATCTTGAAGGGGATGTACAATTTGATAGTTATAATCGATTGATAATCGTCCCTCACAAGGATGGGTAAGAAGGTTCTTATATAAATTTTTATGTTTTGAATGTACTTTTAGATATGTTAACATTAAGGAATATTTATTTTCAATTAAAAGATGTTTATTAATTATATATATGTTAACTTTAATGCAGGTTTTTGCCATCTTTTCAAACTACACATTTGGTTACAGATTCTATGAAGCCATTTTATTATGAGCCATGGACTTCTTGGAGAAAGATATCGTACAGCATCAGAGAGCAAATGTGGAATCAATATAGGGTAAAAATTAATTATATTTATTTAATAATTATCGTCTTCATCTAATGTTACTTTTTTATATTGCAGACAAGGTGTACATGGAATCCTTAGCATCAAAATGCAATAAATAGTTTTTTCGAGAAGAAAATTGCTATAAGGATTAAAGATACTATGTGTGCTCCTCGAAATTCCGATAAAATGCCGGACTGGTTAAGAGAAGATGTTTGGGATAAACTTCTTGAAAAATGGAATACCCCAAAATAGAAGGAAAAGAGTGAACAAGCAAAGGCAAACCGTGCCTCTAAAAAAGGTGGCTCGTTGCACACATGAGGTTCAATTACTTTTGAGGCCCATAAACTAAGAATGGTAATTATTTATAAAAGTTTTCTTAGTTTTACTTATAGAATTTTACGTTTTTAAAGTCTAACTCATTTTTTTCTTATGAAGGAAAAGGAAAGAGGGTGAGATATAAGTAACGCTGAGGTCTTTGAGGAGTTGCATAAGAAAAAGAAGGATGGTACAAGAGAACACCGAGTGGAGACGCATGCGTCAGACACATATGTAAAATTCTAACTTCATAATTATTTATGGTTTATTAATATTAGTTTGTTTACATAATAGTTATGTTTTTCATTTCAGGAAGATTATCATAAAAGGTTGGAAGAATGGCAACAAACTCAGCCTCCTTCAACTCAACCAACACATGATGATATGACTTCATTGTGGACAGAGGCAGCGGGTGGAGCAAACAAAGACAGAGTCTACGGACTAGGAGTACATCGACCTACAAGTCATCCAAACCCACTCTTAGCCAATTCTTCTTCTTCTCAAAATCAAGAACTGATGGAAGATATGAGAAATGAAATTCGTGAATTGAAGCAACAATTGGACTCCCAATACAGAACATTTGTTAAGATGCAGAAATTCATGCGTAAACATGGGCATGATTTATCTGATGATGAGGATGAACAAACTGAATCTGATGTGTAGTAGTTTAGTTGTGATGTTTTGGTTGATTGGTAAACTTGATTGTGAGAGATAACTTTATGTATTGCTTTTAAACTTGAATGTGGGCTACTATTTGGATGTTTTTATGCCCAAAATTGTTAGGTTTAAAGGTTGGCATTGTTGGTTTAAGTTGTGTTAATGGTTGGCATTGTTGGTTTAGAATTTGTTAATGTATTGTTAATTTTGATTGTGTTAATGTATTGTTGGTTCGTATTATTGTATTAATGTATCGTTGGTTTAGATTATTGTTAATGTATTGTTGGTTGGTATTTTTTTTGTTTGTGATAGTTTGGCAGGTGGTGTAGCTCAAAATTGGGCAGAATTCTGTCCAGTTTTATACGAAATTCCGACTGAATTCCGACGAAAAAAGTCGGACAGCTCCCCAGATTTAACCATAAATTCTCATATTTTCGACTGATTCGGTCGGAAATGTAAAAAAAATAAATAAATTAACATTCAGAAATTTTTGACGGATTCCGTCGGAAATTAAACAACATTTATTTTTTAATTATTAATTTCCGACTGATTCGGTCGAAAATTTAATCAAAAAAATTAATATTCAATAGTTTTTGACGGATTCCGTCGGAA